AAAAAAAAAAAAAAAAAAAAGAAAAAAAAAAAAGGTTAGATAGGAATAAAGCTTTTGATAGATAAGGTTTTCTATGCTAAGTTCAAAGGGAAGAAAAAAAGTTTAATATTCTTTCTGTTACTATTCTTCCCCCCTAGCTCAGCATTTAAAAATACTGACAAAAACCATAAATTGGATGCCTCCTCATTTAGTTTCTCACATGCTGCTTCTTGTAATGGAGGAATATTATATATATCATTGTCTAAAACAAAGACTTTCCATAAACCATAGGAAACATGTTTGCGGCCTTAGACTCTGTGAGCTTTTGCTCTAAGTGCTGACAGACAGTATTTTGCCCCTAAATATACTTAGGCATGACAAGAAAAGAGACCTTTCACACAGGAGAGTGAGAAAATGCAGAAGGGCTGTAGGTAACAATGCCTAAAAATGGACCTGGCCTCATAAAATGATGACAAGCTAGTTTCACTACCTCTGTGGCCTGAAAGCAACAATTTTATATAACAGTTTCCAAAGGTATTAATGGCTTCAAAGGAATGGAATGTTTACCCTGTTCCAAAACATATGCTCTCTTTTCCTCACGGCCAAAGTAATTTTCTTCCTCCCTCCTTTCCCACGTCCTTCCTTATTTCCTCCCTCCTTTTCTCCTTGTGCCTCTGCCTGCTGCCCCCCTAAAGCTGTATCCTCATTATATAAATAAGCTACCACTGAGTTATTTATTCTGTTGTTGATAGTAACTCCTTCCCTAGATTTTTTCCAAGCAAGTCAGCAGAAACATCAATAGGAGGCTACACAAAGGTTCGGGTATAACTCCTCCCCTTGAGAGAGGAAAACATTTGTGTAAACAGAATCACTCTTAGAATTTAAGGTTCTACCACCGCAATCACTTGTAACTTCTCCCTACTACTCTATCTTCTACTTCCAGTTTATTTCATTAATAACTTCTTGGGAATATTTTTCTAGTTTTACTTCTTTTTCTACATTGTTGTCACCACTTAGTCTCAGACCTCATGTCCTTTCTAGATTGAGACCCTTAACTATCCTACTTGCCTTTAATCCCTTCCTTACATGATCTGTCTTGTATATCACCTGTTAGGTTAATCTTTTCATTTTTACATCTTCTAAAAAGACGTATACTGACTGAGCTATCCATAGCATTCCAACTTCTCTATAATTTGTTCCCATCTCGACTAGTCATCTTTACCACAAATAATTTCCCATTTCTTTCAAATATGCATGTTTTGGGGGTAGGGAGTTCGAGATAGGGTCTCACTATATAGTTCAGGCTGGCCCTGAACTCATTATGTGTAGCCCAGGATGCCTTTGAACTTGGGTGATCCTCCAGCCTCAGTTTCCTGAGTGCTTGGATTACAGGTATGCACTAGCATGCCCAGCTCTCCAATATTTTTACATTTTTAATTTGCAAAGTCATTTTATAAACATTAGTTTATGTGACCTCCATAAGCCTGCACTGATACAAGGATAATATTACCTTTTAAAATAAACTTCTTTATTAAAGTATACTATGTATTGAGGCAGGAGAGTTGTCACAAGTTTGAGTCCAGCCTGGGCTATGCAGTGAGTTGAAGGCCAGCCTGAACTACATAGTAAGACCTTGTCTCAAAAAAAAGTATATGTATAAAAAGTACACAAGCAACAATTATATAGTGGATTTCTTCCCCCGCCTTCATATAGGGGATCCCTCCCTCCCTTATTTATTTAGGTACTGGGGATTGAACTTGGGTTCTTGTGCTTGTGAGGCAGGTAGCAGTACCACTGAGCTAAATCACTGGTCCAGGTCTACTAATTTTCATAAAATAGACACACACCATGAATCATCATGCAGAACAAGGTCAGCATCTCAAATAGTCCTTCCCATGCCTTTTTTCAGCTACTACTCCTAAAAAAGTAACCTCTTTTCTGACCAGAATTTTGCAGGGCAAAGGTGCCAGTTTTTCATCTTTTGATGCATAACATCATATAGTACATACTTTTCTGTGTTTGGCTTCATTCTACAAAAAAGTTATATCCCTGACATTCATCATGTGAATACATGTAGCAATAGTTGGTTTTAAATAGCAACTGCTTTCATCATTGCATCAGATGGTCTGAGGTTCTGGTTATTTTGACTGAAGTCAGCTAAGTAGCTCCAGCCCAGGGAAATTCATTAGCTATGTCTTGGTTGTAAATACTGTGAACATAACATTTTGAAAAAAGCGAACATTTTGATAGGAGTTATACATTTTGATAGAAGTACTGGATCACAGAATATGCAAATATTCAGCGTAATAGTGCTATGATTTAAATATGGTTTGTGTCCCCCAAGGGACCTCAGATGCTGCCGGAAGGGGGTGGAACCTTTGGGAGATGGGGCCTAGTAGGACGTCCTTAGGTCACTAAGAACACAAAGTTCTTGTCATATGACTCTATGAGGATGTTGTTAAAAAAGGAACAAGCCTGGCCCCACCTACACTTTCTCTCTGCTCATGTTCCATATATGACCATTTGCTTATTCAACATGTTCCTGCCACAGTGTACCACTGTGTTCTGCTTATCCAGAAGCCAAACCAATACTCACCTCCCCAATCTAGGACTCTGAACCTTCAAAACTGTGAACTAAACAAGTATTTTCTTTTTGTAAGTTATCTGCCTCAGGTTATTTCCTTGCAGTAATGTAAAACTGACTAATACAGACATTGCCACACAGTTTCCAAAGTGACTGTACAAATTTATACTCCACCAGTAGTGCATGAAAATTTCATTTCCTAACATTTTTTTTTTTTGGTATCTGGGACTGAACTCTGGACTTTGTGCTTGTGAGGCAGGTGACAGAACCACTGAGCTAAATCCCCAGCCCCTATTTCCTAACACTTTTACCTACTACTGTAATAAATTTTTTTTTAAATTTTAGCATTCTAATTTATGATGTGATGGACTGTGGTTTTAATTTGCATTTCTGCATGAACAAATGAGGCTAATGAGAATATTGAGGTCAAGAAAGATTAAGTTTACATAAATCTGTTTTTTTTTTTTTGGTACCAGGGATCGAACTCAGGACCTCACGCTTGTGAGGCAGGCACAGGGCCACTCATTGAACTAGATCCCCAGCCCTTTCTTTGTATTTTTTTCTGACGTCCCACACACTTTACTCCAGAAAAATCAGGATGAATTCTAGCAAAGCCATCAAAGATGCTGTATTCCTGATTGTATCTTAGCTAAAACAACTACCTGTGAAATCACTGCAGCACTAAGAAGCAAAAGCCTCTTCAGTAAGAAAGAGATAAAAGGACCCGTAGGCACATGCTATGTACTCTTTATACTACATGTCAATTCAGAATCTGAAAAGTACCCTGCCACTTGTCTTTTTGCAATCCTGGGGACTAAACCAAGGGTGCAATGAGCTAAATTCCACTAAGCCCTTTTTAAATTTTATTTTCTGATAAGGTCTTGCTAGTTTCCCAAACTGGCCTGGAACTGGCATCCTCCTGCCTTAGCCTTCTAAGTAGCTGGGGTTACAGGTGTATGCCCTCACACCTGACTAAATTGTCAGAAGTTTAATCTACTTTATTAATCTTTTTTCCCCTATTTTTTTCTGCCTACAACCCTAAGCACATTTCCTCTCCAATCCTGCAAAGTTTCTTATTTAGTTAAACAAGATGATATAAATAATCTCTCAATTTCTTTTCTTTGGTATTCTTTATAATACTGCAGCTTCTTCTACATTCTTATTTAACCAGAAGCCTTAGGAGGCACCTATGTTTACTTTTATCTTAATTGTTTTAACTAAATAAGTTGTTTGGTTAAGGAACTGGAAAGACTAAAATGGAGAGAAACAGATCAGCAACAAAGTTTAGAAATTTATCCTACACACATAAAAACACTTCCTCAATTATCTCTCCCACTACAAAATTATTTCATAAGGAGAAACCTGGAAGCAATTTAAAAAAAACAAATGCCTACTTTTAACTTTGATATGAAACCCCAGCATAATCATTATTCTTAGATATGGGGAAAACTGACAGTTCCAATCATCACTATTTTTGTTGGTTTGAGGCTCAAGTTACGTTGATGTATGTCAGTTAATTATCCACAGTCCAGAGAAATGCACTAGATATCCTTCAGATGATGGTCCCCTGTCCAAACTGATTTTTTTTGGTGGGGGGCACAGAATCCTAGGGTCAGAGAACATATTTCTACAGTCCGAGGCTGATCTTCTCTGGAAACACTGTGAGAAGACTTGATTAATCCTTCTCTATGTCAATATTCTACTAAATAGATTATCTTAGTCCAACACTTAAAATCTGTGTTACTGTATTTACATGTTTTTCTTCCTTATAATTCAGTGTGTAACTTAAAGGCAGGACTCTTATTCAGTCTTTCACCCTCTATTACAGTAATGATGCAGTATCATAAGAACTAATCCTGGGAGGAATTCACAAAAACACAGTCTAAAAAAAGTTGACAGTGTAAAAAGAAAATGGTTCAAAGTTGTTCAAGAATAGGATAGTGCAGCTTGGAGTTTCAAGAAAGAGGTGGTCAATGATGTAAAAGATTGCCCTGGGAACAAGAAGGAGCAAAAGACTATCAGATATACTGAAAATATGACCGGTATTAGTAGTAGCAGCGACAGAGTGAGATTCAGTTAGACCAAAAGATGGGGAGAGATGGAATCGAGATTTAGAAAGAACAGTATGAAGGGGCTAATTTCAATATTTTTTCTTTTATGTGGGACAGCTCATCTTAAGTCTGCAGGGAACAAGCTGGCCCCAGATATCTCCAAATTCTCAATTTTCTTGCCTCAAATTCTTATGTGTCCAAAGATATGGGAACAAAAGACATGCCTTCATAGAAGGGTTCCAAGTTGATTTCATAGGATGTACTTTATTGACTGCCTACTAAGTAATTAAACCTTAAAAAAATAGTTAAACCTTTCTGACTTGCTAAGTAATAAAGGCACAATTGTGAGAAGTAAAATGCCTGGTGATCCTGATCTACTGCATCATGGAGCACTGAGTAGTCACTTTTTACTAATCATGTAAGTCTTCTCTGTGAAGTTGAGTATCTGCTATTTAACTTTGGGAGATTTACTCAGGGACCCAGACTTAGGGGCATATTGCATTTTGCATGTTTGTTTAGATTCATTTTATTGGTCCATGATGTGTCCCTTTCAAGTGATCAAACATGCTACCCATTACAAGTTATTTTTATATATGCCAATGAAGAAAATTTAGGCTACACAAAATAACAGCATCTTCATGCCTGCCTTGCAAGTGCAAGGTCCTGAGTTCGATCCCCGGTACCAAAAAACAAAAAACAAAACAAACAAAAACCAGAATCTTAGAATAGTACCTCAGAGATCATCTAACCCACCTGTCTGACAATACAGAGGGAGAAAATGAGGCTCAGTGATTGGAAAACTTTCTGAAGATTATGTTGCTAACTAGTAAGATAGGTGGATTTCAACCCGAGATAGCAGAACTCAAAGTATTGTATTTGTCATTATACCATAACATAAATCTTCTCTTTTTTAGGAGGTAGAGGGGAAAAAGAAAGAAAAACTTTAACTGTAGAAATATACCTTTTTATTATTTGTCAACTCTGGCCCAAAGTTCTCAGTGTAGGTTAAATATTTTCCTCCCCTTCTCTTTCAACTCCCTAGAGAAATCAGCTGTGAAGCACACCTGTCTTATTTTTAAAGACTGTACTGCATCCCTTGCAGAAACTTTGCAAACCTTCCTACAACCTCCTGTTACAATCTTACTGACATAAATACATCATCTGCCCCAAAGTCTGTGCATTTACCACTGAAAAAAATGATGAAGTAGAAGTAGAACTTTATACAGCTATTCTGAAAAGAAATCCAGGTTGCTGATACAATTTATGGTTAATGTCAGTAGCTTACTAAATATCTGATACCTAATAAAATGCCATATGCTATAGTATATGTAGTGTGTGTGCATATATATAAACACTATATATATATATAT